ATTTAGTATATATTAGTAGGGAAATGGCGCCTATAATGGCATAGCACCGGTCATATTTCAATAAAAATTGGTTTTGGTGAAAAATTGATTACAACTACATAATTACACAGTAACTTTACATTAGTTTTAGTGAAAACAAGTTCCTTGTGCGCAAATATTGTTTTTATAATTAACAAAAATCGAATTTGGGATTTGCAGTAATTGTTTTATTCCCTTCGTAAGATTGTGATTTTATTAATAAGTGTGCAGAAAGAGAAGTTTCATGCATTTTATATCCAAGTTTTGTGCATTTAGTGGAATACTTACTTTAATTTTATTTTTTAAATGAGACAAACTCACTTTGTTTTAATAAAAATGATGACTTCTTCCCACGATGCCATACTGAAGAGTTGGGTGTGTTACAATATTGACGAGTTAGGAAAATCTTTTTTTTTTAATGAGAAAAACTTATTTTTTAATAAAATAAAACGAAAGCAATGCTCCAAATGATTTATGATCCATAAAATACATAATGCGTAATATATCCTATGCGCATGCGCTAAACTTTACAATGCTGCTGTATAATATGAAATGGTAAACTAGGACGGTTACGAGTAATTTCTTGCTTTTCTGAAGGAAGACTCTAAAAATAATTGAAATCATTAAGTTACCCTACATCCTAACCAGCACCATCCTCCACTATATCATCATAGAAACAGTGGTTGCCTATGATGGCGTACTTGTGCTTTTTCTTCAAAAAAAGAAATAACTATATAAAAAAAAAAAAAAAAATGATGAAAAGTCTTAGAGTTATTATTGTTTTACATGTAACAAGGAGTTTATCTATATCAAAACTTTTATTATTGGTCAATATGATATGAAGCTTCAAAGTTGCCATCATAGGCGCAATTTCCCTATGTAGTATATATTGAGCTGAAAATACCATACGAACAATTCTGTGGCTAGAAGTTTAAAGCTACCACTGTCATTAGGGCGTTAGAATCTTAAAAATCTTCCATTTCTAAATGTTTTGCTAAAAAAATTCTTGTATTCAGAAAATGACCCTAAACTTAAGAAAAGGTCCCCAAATTCATAGGCCCAGCAAATTATTTATCGTGGCTAGACTCTACGCTTAAAAATTACGCATAAAATCTATATAACTTGGGGTAAAGTTTTTACCCCAATATCTTTAATTAAGATATTGTTTGTTGAGTTTTGTTGAATATCTTTACTAAAGATATTGTTAGGAAGATTAAAGTTTATTACAGTGTGTCAGAAATTTGGGCTCTAAGTTTATAACGTTTCATTAGAGAAATTATTTAACTTTCGCAAGCGACATATCCACTTAATTTTATAATAAAAGTGTTTTAATTTTATAATAAAAGTGTTAATTTTATAATAAAAATGATTCTTTAAACGCTACACACAAAATAAAAAAACAACGTTGTAAAAAAATGTGAAACAACTAATCAGTGTTCCGAGTTACATCATTAACTTATGATAATTGCGCGAAACTATTTACGGCTGTCATGTTGGTTAACAAACAAATAAACAAAGCATAGTCATGTCTTTAGTCAAAAGCAAATATTATACTTGTTTTTCTGTTGAAAGCAAGCAAAGATATCTTCATAAAATTTCTCAAATAAATAATTTAGATCCTTACAGTTTAGTGCAATCTGACTTGGTTTTTTCAGTAGATTTTTATCCTAAAATAGGTTACCCTGATATTGTAAGTTATTTAATGTTTGCTCCATCTCCTATATCCGCTAATGAACTAAAGTGCTATAAAAGTTTGGAGTCATATAATTTTTTCCTCTCTGGTTGAGTCAAGGAAATCGGTTTAAAGTTATTTGATGAAAAATGTTTGGTTATTGGAAAAGTAACAAATTTTTATATTTGTATTTTATTAAAAAAAAGTTTAACGTTAAATTAAACATAGTTTTATTTTATCATATTGCAGGTTTATCATTCTCAGAAGCATAAAGAAACGGCAGCTTCAACATGGATTATTTCTAGAATGGATGGTAAAGTAATATATGCTCATTGTAACTGCATGGCTAGTCTTGGAGAGGCATGTTCTCACATTGGAGCAGTTTTATTTTATATTGATGCTGCTGTCAGAATTCGTAATTCTAAAACAGTTACAGAAAAAAAAGCATATTGGATGCTTCCATCTTCAATCAAAGATATTCCATATGCAGAATGCATTGCTATAGATTTTACCTCCCCAAATACTTTAAAACGAAAATTTGATGAAGAAATATTAAACGAATCTACCTGTAGTGGATTTCTAAATGATAAAAAAAGCGATGCATTATCAAGTAGTTATAATTGCACTCCTCCAACTTAGAATGAACTTGATGCATTTTTCAATGATCTGAGCCTCTGCAAGTCAAAGCCAGCTATTTTGTCGATTATATCCCCTTACAGTGTAGATTACCAACCCTCATTGTTAAAATTGCAATTTCCAAAAATGTTGCGGGAACTTTATGATTCTTCAGCTTTATCTCTTAGTTACCTAGATTTATGTAAACAATGTGAAACTTTAAGTTTGTCTGTATCGGAGGTTGAGCAGTTTAATTTCGAGAAAGCTACAAGAGAGCAAGTTTTTTCAAAAAAATGGTTTTATTTTCGAGCAGGGAGAATTACAGCATCAAACATGTATAGTGTATTACACACGCTTGAAACCATGCCTGCCTTATTATTAATTAAAAAAATTTGTTACCCTAAAGTTACAAAGTTAGTTCATGTCAAACTAAATGGGGAATAGACAATGAAAAGATTGCTTTAGCAAAATATTTTGATATTGTAAAACATCATCATGTTAATTTCAAAATTATAAAGTGTGGTTTTTTTATATTGTCAGAGTATCTTTTCATAGGTGCTTCTCCAGATGCTTTAATATCTTGTGAATGCTGTGGTGAAGGATGTGTTGAAATTAAAAATCCTGCTAACCATAAAGACAATTTTATATTAAAAGCTATTGGTAAAGATAAGACATTTTATATACAAATTCTATATGGACAGCCTGCGTTACAAAGTGTCAGCAAGTATTTAGCAGTTCTATCTTGCCAGAATTAGTTGGTAAATTTTTTACAAGAGATACCAAAAATATGGATTTTGACTTTATTGCTGATCACAATTTATTTTGTTATTGTAATGGCAATGAAAATGATGAGTTATTTCCTTGTGCAGGAAAGAGTTGGAAAATTAAACTTTTTCACTTGGTATGCCTAAAATTGAATAATAAACCAAAAAAGAATTGGCTGTGTCCTGATTGTCATAAAAAAAATATTTAGTACCTAAATGTGAGCATCGATTTAAATACTTGTAATAAAATACTTTATTTACTTATTTTAATTTTTTTTTATATGATGTTTCAGTCTGATTAACTCAGATGATCATCAGGCGTAATAATTTATAAATAAAAAAATAATTTTTTTAATTTTATGTCCGCGGAAGAGCAATTGAAAGGAAATTCATGCCTCCTTTCAAGCAATGTTACAAAACTAGAATTGAACCACAGATCTTTATACATATATATATAGAATTAGAACCACCACTAGAATTGAACCACAGATATATATATATATATATATATATATATATATATATATATATATATATATATATATATATATATATATATATATATATATATATACATATATATTAGTTTTAGTTTTAGTTATTGTGTTAATTAGCTTTGGTTATTCTGTTTAATATTCAAAAAGTTGTTTATGAGTTATTTTTTCCATTATTTAATTTTATGTTTAGTAGATGACACTAAAGAATTAGTTTAAGAGTGCAGTATCACTAAAGGTTAAAGTGAAAAAATATAAGAATCACTAATGTTTGAAATATTTTGTTTGAAAGCATTAATTAGGCATCATAGCTTAATCTCTCTTTAGAAGTAAAAATGTTTATTCCTATTATAAACAATCAATAAACTTTATTTAATTATTTTCTTTAGTTATTTTTCAAATTCTTTAATTAAATTTTATATAAATAAAAATATTGAACCAAATTATATAAATATAAAACAAATATCTAACCACATTATATAAATATAAAACAAATATAAATATAAAACAAATATCTAATCACATTATATAAATATAAAACAAATATATACCTAAATCTACTTTTTTTATTTTAAGTATAATTATTGTGAATAATATTCAATAAGTTGTAATATTCTAAAAGTTGATTATCAATAACTGTTTCCATTGTTTAACTTTATGTTTAGCTGATGACGCTCTTGTCAGACTTGGTCAAATAATAACTTGATTTTGACGATTTGACTACAGGGTAATTCCATGTAAAAGTGGGACAAAAAATTTTAATTTTTCAGTCACCCCTTTAGATGTCTTTCAAACTTCAACCAGTGGAACCTATCAATGTAACATGAAAAAATTTAAAGTTTGAGCTTCCAAATCCAAACGGTTCAAAAGTTATGACATTTTGAAATTCAGCCTCAAACAGCTTTTTTTTCCCCGAATCTGCCATTATGGATTTTGTTGACGTACTTTTTAATGAATAATTTATGTTCTAGTGGAAGAATATGGCTAAAAACTGGTACCTGACCATTTTTGAGGGTGCTGAATTCAAAAATATAGAGAAACCGACCCAATTTTTAATTTTTAATGGTCATTTTTTGATTTTAAAATGGTTAGTTGAGTTTTCTGTTTCATCACTGTGGGTTGCGCTTTCACCATCTGTGGGAGTTGCCCAAGTCTCATGGATTTGAGTTTTTGTTCAAATGAAAGTAGAGATCTTGAGCTATTTCAATAAAAAATATGGTTTTGGTCTCTTGAAGCATAATAAAGATATGTCATTTTGAAGTTGAGATAAAAAAATTCCTCATTTGGTCTAAATTCTCTATTATAGATTTTTTAACAATACTTTAAGTGTGAGTAATTGAAATGAAGAAATATGAGTAAAAATTAGTACCTGACCATTTTTGAAGGCGCTGAATTCAAATATGAAAAGAAAATAACCAAAATCAAAATATTTGACAATCTTTTTTAATTTTAAAATGGTAAGTCAAGTATTTTGTTTCCTTGCCATAAACAGGTTAATGCTTTCACTAAACCTTGAATTGCCTGAATCTCATTGATTTAGTTGTGGTTTAGAAAAATAGTTTTTTGAGGTTGGTTAATATGATGTAGAAATATAGTTTTGCTATTTATACATCAGTTATGATGTATAAATATAGTTTTTTGGTGCCAGTTATGATGTATAAATATTGTTTTGAAATGCCAGTTATAATGCATAAAATTGTTTTAATTTTAGATTAATTAATTATTGATTCTTATTTGGTTTCTCAGTCATGATAAATAATCAACAGTGCTCTATTGGAATAAATCTAGAAAGTGAATGTCATCTCACAACATATACACCGTTGTTTGGAATCGAATATTTTGAAGATATTCCTGATTATGAAAGAGAAATATTAATGTGGAGGACTGGGCTATCAATAATCAATGTTAAATCAACAACTTGCCTCCATCATAAACATGTTTATTTGAAGCGTTATGCAACTAAACTAACACGTTGCTGCAACCCATTTAATATCCATAACAAAGTTAAAAAAGGTATTTTTAGTAGCGACACCTTTTATTTCTCAAATTTACAATGTGAAAGTGTTGAGAATTACAATAATGAAATTCTTGGCAACCAAGTTCTACTTTATCTATATTTAACTATACAACATTCAACTTTAAAAGATTTTAGTAACATTATTTTATAAATTAAAAGAGTTCTTCTCTTCTTTTCAGGCAGTCTTCGTGAAATCAACTTGGATACAGCAAAATCTCTATGCAGTAAAGGCAAATTTGTAGTACCAGGTGAAAAGCTTTGTCCACAATGCAGACATAAATTAGCATCAAGTGAACAACCAGAAGAAATTGAATTAGAGGAAAAATTCATTGAAGATGATATGGAGAAAGAAATTATGCTAGAATCAGCAAGATCATTGCTCAACAATACCTTATGTGAACTTGAAGTGTCTCCTCTAAAAGTTTTAAATTTACCTAAAACCTCTAACAAGTCTTCACTTGGAAAGAGAAAGATAAAGCAAGTTGAAGAAGCAGTCATTAAAAAACTTGCAACTGCTCTAGATGTCGCTGAATGCGATCTTGCTGCACCAAACAACATTGAAGTTTTAAAGGAGATTCAAACCAAAGCTGGCGATCTAGACTTCCTTGTTGAATGCATGAAAGAAAAACTTAAAGTTTCTAACAGAAGGCAGCAACTTCAAATTTTGACATTGACCCCAAAATCTTGGTCTATCAGAAAAGCAGCAAAAGAGTTTTCAGTTTCGAAGCACAAAATTCAAAATGCCAAGTTTTTACGTGACCAAAAAGGCATCATAGCATACCCTGATATGGTTGAACGGCATCGAATCAGCAAAGATGTTATAGAACTTGTAAAACTTTTTTACTGTGATGATGAGTATTCAAGGCAAATGCCAGGTAAAAAAGACTATGTAAGTATTGGAAAAAAAAAACACATGTCAAAAAAATTGATTTTGTGTAACTTAAAAGAGCTCTATGCAGCATATAAGATAAAGTACCCTGAGCATAAAATTGGATTCTCCAAATTTTGCAGTCTTCGGCCTAAATGGTGCATCCTTGCTGGTCCAAAAGGTACACATTCTGTTTGTGTGTGTACAATACATCAAAATGTTAAATTGATGTTAAGTGCTGTAGGCCTAGAAATGTCTTACCATGAAATCATTGAAATGATTGTATGCAGCAGAAAATCAAAAGTTTGCATGATTCACCGATGCAATAGTTGTCCTGGCATACAAGCTGCCCAAAATTTTTTACAACAGTATCTTACACAAAATGATGACCCAGAAGAGCAATATGACAGTGATGAAAATGAACAGTCCGTGGATTTCAAACAGTGGGCAACAACAGATAGAACTGAACTATTAGCAATAAACCTACCATTAAATGAATTTATAGATCTGCTGTGTGAAAAGCTTGATAAAATTACTTGTCATTCATTTATTGCAAAATCACAATCTAGCTATCTCAAGCATCTCAAGGAAACACTTAGTATTGATGAGGCAATTGTCCTGGTAGATTTTGCAGAGAATTACACTTTTGTAGTACAAGACGAGGTACAGAGTTACCATTGGAGCAAGAGTCAGTGTTCTCTACATCCAGTTGTCATCTATTACAAGAAAATGAAGTTGGAAACATCATCTTTTTGCATAATTTCAGATGATTTGAATCATGATGTTGGATTTATTAATGAAGTTATGCATAAAACCATAAATCATATAAAAGCTAATATTTGTCCCACAATTACAAAAATTCATTATTTTTCTGATGGTTGTGTAGGGCAGTATAAGAACTGCAAACATTTTTACAATTTATGTCACCACTCTAAAGATTTTTCTCTTAGTTGCATCTGGAATTTCTTTGCAACAAGCCATGGTAAATCTCCATGCGATGGAATAGGTGGCACTGTAAAAAGGCTTGTTGCCACTGCTAGCTTGCAGAGTCCAAACACAGGTCAAATACTGTCCGCTCAAGCAATGTTTGAATACTGTCAAAAGTCAATCAGTGGAATTATGTTTATGTACATCACTGCTGAAGAAATGGAGTTTGCACGAAACAAACTTACTGATAGACTTTTAACAGCAACCACTGTTCCTGGGACAAGAAGTTTTCATCAATTTGTACCTTCTTCTCTTTCAAATATAAAGATGAAAAGGGTGTCTGATGATGCTGATTTTGCTCTAACATTTGACTTTCTTAAAAAACAAAAATTTGAAACTATTAAGATTGATTATGTTATGATATCACAATACCTGTTTTGCAAATATGACGAATTTTACTGGCTTGGTATGGTTTCTGAAATTGATAAAGAGAATGATGATTTTTTAGTAAAGTTCATGCATCCACATTATCCAAGTCGGTCGTACTACTGGCCGTATCTCATAAAAAAATAATTACATGACCGGAGCTAGAAGAAGACAAATTTAGCCTTATCACCATGCCCCAAATTCATTAGTTAAACAAATTATTTCTAAAATTATAAAAACTTCAATTTTTGTAACATTTGCTTATTTCTTTTCATTGTTCTTGTTGAGTTCCTTTTTCCCAACAAAGGAGATATTTTACTCCTTTACAAAAACATTTTTTTTTGTAAAGGAGTATGAAGCACATTTGAAAATGCAGCATAAAATTTTCAAAATTATTTTAAATCAATACTTAATTATTAGACATGCTGGTTAAATTACTATAAATGATAAATAAAGAAATTATATTTTCAATGTACTGTAATGCAAATTATATTATCATAAATACTTTAAAAGATATTGAATATACATATGCAAGTTATAAAAAAAAAATTTTTTTTTTCTTTCAGAAACCAAAAATCAGCTCCAAAAATGAGTAAAACATAACCCATGCTAATGAAATAAATAATTTGACTGGCAACATTTTAAAATTATTATTAAACAATTAGAATTGGGTTATTTTCTCTTTATCTTTAGATTCAGCACCTTCAAAAATGGTCAGTTATCAAATTTCAGTCATATTCCTCCACTATAACTTAAATTACTCACACAAAGAGTCCAAAAAAGGAATTTTTTTTGCCTAAATTTCAAAATGATATAGTTTTATTATGCTTAAAGAGACCAAAACCATCTTTTTTATTAAGATAGCCTAAGATGTCCTCTTTCATTTGAAAAAAAAATTGAATCCATGAGACTTGGGCAACTCCAGGAGATAGTAAAAGCGCAACCCATGGTAATAGGACAAAAAAATTGACTGGCCATTTTAAAATCAAAAAATAAACATCAAAAATTTTAAATTTCACAATTATCTCCACATTTTTGAATTCAGTAATCTCAAAAATGGCTGGGTATCAATTTTTAGTCATACTCTTTTACTAGAACTTAAATTATTTATTAAAAAGCACAACAACAAAAACCATAATGGCGGACTTGGTTAAAAAAAGGATGTTTTAGGCTAAATTTCAAAATGTCATAACTTTTGAACCGCTTGGATTTGGGTGCTCAAACTTTACATTTTTTCATGTTTCATTAATAGGTACCAGTGGTAAAAATTTAAAGAAAATCTGAGGGGTGACAGAAATGACTGTCCCACTTTTACATGGAATTACCCTACAGCTAATAATAGGGCTAAAAAGTTATCGAGACAACTTTTTCTAGAATAACAAAATAAATCTTAACAAAAGAGGAACTTAAATAAAACTAAAACACGCAGAAAACAACTTTAACATAAAACACACAAAAAAATAAAACTCAAAGATTATTTAACTTTTAAATTATATTTAGAATAATAAACTTCATTTTTATCCATGTTTGTATGATAATAGGAGAAACCCTTTTAAATAATGGAACAAATTAATTTAAATGATTGTTAACACGCATTAACAGCCAGTGAGGTGTTTCTTATTATCCCTATTATTTCATTTGCTTTTGATGAACATTTTACCATGTGTTTCTTACATTTCAGTGATCAATCTTCTCTGTTTGATGAACACTTTTGCGCTCTTGCAGTTTTGTGCTCACCCACGCGCTCACCAATACTATGGCTGGCGCTATTTCAACCACTCACAAAAAAGTTTCTAAATAAAGTGGTACACATTTAATCTTGTTCAGTTTGAATAACCATTTTCCCAACCACTTATCAGAAGAAAACTAAAATGAGTATCTTAAATTGAGTTTTCTTCTGATGAGATATATGTATATATATATATATATATATATATATATATATATATATATATATATATATATATATATATATATATATATATATATATATATATATATATATATATATATATATATATATATATATATATATATATAATATATATATATATATTTATATATATATATATATATATATATATATATATATATATATATATATATATATATATATATATATATATATATATATATATATATATATATATATATATATATAAATATATATATATATATTGTCTAATTTTATTATTTTAATATTAAATTCAATAAGTTATATATTGACATTAAAATAATTATGTATTTTAGCATTATTTGACATTGCCAAATTGTTTAAATATTTAAAATATCCTAAAATATATTAAAGTCATGGATGACAAAAAATACAAAGATATCTTGCTGAAAATTGCATTTAATTTGTTGGATAGAGATGTTGAAGCAGTTAAATTTTATTATTCAAAACAAATTGGTGATGCTGATCTTGAAAGGATTACAACTCCTATCAAATTAATTCAAATTTTAGAACAGCGTATGCTTTTAGGAATCGATAATTACAATTCTTTTGTAGAGGTGCTTACAAAAATTGGAAGAAATGACCTGGTTATTTATTTCTTTGGTAAGTATAACAGTAATATTGTATTTATGAATTACATTCTTTTATATACTATTATAATATATTAGGTTTATTAATCCTTTTCTAATATATATATATATATATATATATATATATATATATATATATATATATATATATATATATATATATATATCTACATATATATGTATATATATATATATATATATATATATATATATATATATATATATATATATATATATATATATATATATATATATATATATATATATATATATATATATTAGGGTGATCCAAAATTATAAATTATTGAAATTCATTTCTCCACAAGGCTGCCTTTGTTCCTATTAATATTTGCAATATTGTAGCCAAATTTGAAGCAAATCGGATAATATTTAGGGGTTGCTATAAATTTTGACTTTTTGACCACAATGATAAAAAAATCAAAAAATTTAAGTTTTCACTATAAATATAATATCGAATTTAAAAATTAATGCCACTAACAATTTAAATCAGGTAAATACAATGCCTGTAGAGTATCTAATGAATATAGATCATCAATTGATCAATTTTTATTAAAGTATATCAACGTTTCGTCATTTTCTTAATTTTTAAACAAAAACTGTAATATCAAGAATATTGTGAATATGTTGAAAAATGTATGTTTATTAATCAACGATTTTGTCATCTTTCGCCAACATGGCTGCCTTGGATGAAGTAGGGTATAGCTGGCGGTGACGTTGAACAAAACGAAGTAGGAACTGCTTTTGTTCTTCATCCTTTGTAATCGATTCGTTGTACTGTCCAATTAATGCAATTCCACGTTCTGCGCTGTCATTAACAACTTTCATTCTTTGGACTCTCTCTGCCAACTTCTGATATGATTCATCGTCCTCCCAATATTTAGGATATTTTGAAATGAAGTTTCTGGCCTCCTCTCTCCCTGTACTGCTCAACAACTCGAATAAACTATAGGTTCTCATAGTCACGAATGTCTCTAGTCTGTTGAAGTCGGTATTCTTGGAATCTACTCTCTTCAGTGCTAGAGTTGTCTTGGGCAGTTGGAGGTTAACCACCATGGCCCTCTTCACATCCAGATCAACGCGACTATCAAAAAATGTTAGACCTATAAGATGTTCCGAGAAGAACCAAAGGAGTCGAGAAAATGCAGTAAAAGCTGCATCGGCGATTGTGCGGTTTGGATACTTTTGGAACTGTTTCAGCATTTGAGCATCATTAAACGGAGCATTTGCAGCCAGTGGAGCTTTGTACCAAAAACGTCCGTAAATTAATGCCACAAACAATGCAAGCTCTACTAGACCTTTCTTCTCTCAAACAGTCAGAGTGAGCTGATCTTGAAATAGTACCATTTTCAGAGCGTAGATGGCCTTTGACATCCATCGAGCATGATGCATCGCTCCTGGAGCTCGAAATTTTATCTCAGCACCAACAGAGCCTCCCCCTAGAAAGACCAGGCATAACCGAAGTAGTTCAAGATAATCTTCCCTAGGTTGTTTTTCGTCGATGGCTCTGGTGTAGAATGCTACCATTTCCTTTCGAAGGATTTCCATATCTCCGATGAAAAGCTCATCTTTAGCTGGGGAGAATCTCGCTTGCTGAATATATGGCTAACATAATATATTTACATGCTGCAGCTGGTAACATCTTCTCGCTGCATTGCAAGAAATTGCCTATCTTCAGCAATGGTTATTGTCTCCATTGTGGTTTTAGTTGCCAAGTCAAAAAGCTCGTAAAGTGTGTCTTTGAACATCTGTTCTTTAATTCTACTGCTTTCCAGGTCTGTAGTTCGATTCTTTTTTAGGAGCAGATAGGAATCGTATAATTTCTGAAGTTTTCTTTCACCAGAATCAATTCTTTGTGTTGGGATTCTTGCCTTATTCCACATAACAATCAGCTCTTGAATCGTATGGTGAATGCTGTCCTTTATTGTGATATGCTCTTCCAGATGATGAAAGAGGAGACACCGGAGGACATCTCCATTTGTTGCCAATCTTGACGAGGAGAGCTGCTTAGATGCTTTCCCAATGAGCCATACCTCTGCAGAGCTTCTTGTAGTAACTGCCATAAGTGGTGTAATATATATTTTTATTATTTATTAATTACCTGCAGAAGTTTAAGTTGAAATGATTCTTTGTTCTTCAACTATTTAATTTTATATAATTAATAATTAGTACTTTATATTATTAACAGAAATGAAAAAAAATTACTGAAAAACATAATTTGTTTTGAAATATTGCAGACATGTGCTTAATACAAGATGGTCACTTAATCATGTGACAATTGATAAAAGATATTAGATATATAAATGAATTTTTATAGCATATTCTTTTTGAAAACTATTTAATTTAATAATAATTTATTTGTAATTCATTATATTAACTATATAATAAATATATATATAAAATATAATACTTAAGTATAAGAATATTTGTTACCAGAAATAAAAAAATAATCCTTATAAAATTTTTATTGAAATACTGCAGACATACAAGATGGCCGCCAAATCATGTGACAATAGACAACTAAAAGATATTAGTTATATAAATGAATTTATATAGCATCTGCTTTTCAGCAAGCATTAATTTATTTACCACAATGTTGAGATAGATGTTCAATTATGCAAAACTTACACAAAAATTCGTAAAAATCGAGTACCGTCAAAAAAATGTTGAAATCATAGCGACCCCTAAAACTGTTCAGATTGGTCCAATTTTTTATATGGCTATTCCCTAAGCATAGTGGAATAAAGTTAGGCTTGTGGAGAGAATCTAGACACACTTTGAATTTTCACCACACAAATCTGGACCACCCTAATATATATATATATATGTGTATGTATGTATATATATATATGTCTATATATATATATATATATATATATATATATATATATATATATATATATATATATATATATATATATATATATATATATATATATATATATATATATATTTTATTGATAATATATATTTGATTTTTTATTTTTCTTTGTTTTAGCAATTAAATGCTGGGACTTAATAAAATATGCATTCTATTTTGGTTTTCTTAAAAAACAATTGTAACAAAAATATTTTTATCATATTTTAGGCTATCTGAATAAATTAAATATACACATTTCTACAATTTTATTTTTTTGAGTAACAGTATTGCAACATTTTGAAAAATATACAATAATTTTCTAAACGCCATACTCTAGCCAGAAATAATTGATGACTGCCATTTCTCATCGAAAATATATTAAATATGAATCGTAGAAGTATAATATTTAATTTGAAATACTCACAAGCAATTTATTTTCATAAAAATATTTATTAATAGTTATTTAAATAACTACATGAAATTGACAAATTCGCAACATTTGTGCGTGACTTCTGTGCGTGATCATTCATAAACTGCATATAAACGATTGCTGTGACTCTATGATTCATAGTGCATTCCTGTAATTTTCTGGAAATCTTTACTAATGTTTAAAATATTATTTTAAAAAAAAAGTATACCTGTGAAACTTTTGTTTTCCGAGGAATTAAAGTTTATTTATCTATTAACTAAAATAGAAGTTTTTCTGTTCCATGCGTGATTCCATTTCAAACTTTATTTATTTTTTGTTAACATTACTAATGCCTACTATTTTTTGTTTACGAAATATTTATATTGATTAGAATTAAATGAGAGTAAATTGGAGATCGCTAGTTTTATTTTTATGAAAATAAAAGTAAAAACATATACGAGTTTCTGTGCGTGAAATTTTTTAGAAATGCCTTTTATATAAAATAGGATTATATTTAATATCACTGATAAATATTTACTTTTACTAAATAACCTTAGTATTCCATTTGAAAACATCCAATTATTTTATAAAATGCAACCCTAATTCTCAGGTTTTGCAAATTTCTACACCACTTAAAGATTTTATTAAGTTATGAACATTCCCATAATTTTATCATCTGGTTCCAAACTGTTTCAAAGATGTCTATTCAAATTTTGCCTTGACCAACAAAAATATATGATTTTGAAAAATGGTTTTGATCTCTGCTACTGTTCTGTGTGCAATTGAAAGCTGAAAATGTGTACACTTACATATTTTGAGGCAATGAATCCAATAAATTAACTTAAGATATTTGAAACTAAACATAACACCTTTAAATTTGACCTTTATTGTATCTTTAATTGGGCATGTTTAATTAAAAATTGATAATGTAGCTCGATTTTCTTTTTTTTCTTTTTTAGATGTTGTCCCGAATAGTTTAGTTAGAGTTGTTACAAAGATTTGGGAAGTGTTCTTCTTTTAAACAGAAAAAGAATCTGTCAAATTAACTTAAATTTGTTACTTATAAAACAGGAATTATGAAAAATGAAAGGCAAAAAAAGTTAGTACTCCTATGTGCTTAATACACAAAAGTTGATATTTAATAATTTTCAGACGATTTTTCAACCCAGTTTCTTTGTTCGTAACCTTGTTATGAACAAAGAAACTGGGTTGAAAAATCTTAAATTTTAAAAAATTTCAGTAGTTTTTTTCTCTTTTTCGAGACTGATTTTGATCCTAAAAGTTAGAAATAAAAATCATTTATAGGCGAAAAAAATATTCCTACTCATGGTACTGTTAGGACTACTTCCCCCTCCTCTTTCTAATCTTCTCCTAACCTCCCCCCCCCCACCTCCTCCCTTTTTTGTTACATCTCACAGTGGTCTGAAAAACATGATTTTTGGTTAAAATTAAAATTTTGATGTTTTTATGCTAAATTGATAATGCTGAATCTAAATCCGAAATCAGTTTTTGATTTAAAGATTTTGTTGTTCAGATATAGCATAAGCGGTCCAGTAGATTTTCGAAAATAGTTTTTGTTTTTATGCTTGTGGTTTTATAATTTATTGGATTTATATATATATATATATAAATATATATATATATATATATAATATATATATATATATATATATATATATATATATATATATATATATATATATATATATATATATATATATATATATATATATATATATAATGATTAAATATGTGGTATAAAAACAACACAAATATAGTGTCATTATGGTTTGAAATGAATATAAGTTTCTTTATTTTAACTATCTGTAACTGATTTTTTTAGGAATTGCATTTTATTTGCATATAAAAAATATGCATTTTTTAAAGTATTTTTAACTCTTTTTTTTTTTGTTAATTTACCTCCTTAATGCTGAGAACATTATGGCCACTACAGACAAGGAGGCTGCTTATTTGTGGTTTTTTTTTTTTGTTAATTTACCTCCTTAATGCTGAGAACATTATGGCCACTACAGACAAGGAGGCTGCTTATTTGTATTAATAACCCTCTCTCAATCTTGACCGCTGGCCACTGTGCGGAGAATCGCGTTAAGCGCGGTATTGCCATCTAGTTAAATATATGGAATATTTTATAAAAATAAAAATGAATTTTTTAATTATTTTTAACAAATTAGGTAGCAAGTACAACTGTATTAAAAAAAAAAATGTTTTTGAAATTTTGATTTTTTTGTTTAAATATGAGATTTATTTGTTCATAACAATTAAAATCAGGGGTGCAGAGTCCCAAATGGGCTCCTGCTTTATATCTCTATTTTTTCCTGATCTCTGGTGTCCTGAAGCTCTAAACAAGTTTGTTGACCTAAGATCTGCTAAAGGAATGAAATTTATAAGATACAATGACTTTTTATTTTTAGTCCAGAGTCATAAAGTTGTTGCTACCATTACACCTAAAGACTCTGGGTTTTTTCCCTCTTGTAGTCCAAAAGCTTTTTTATATTTTAGAGTTCCTGGATACTAAAATCTAGAAGAAATAATTTTTTTGTGGCTTATAAACCAGAGTCTTTTTTGGAACTCCACATCCTTGAGTAAAATCTAACAAATAGAGCGAGAGGGTTTTAATAAGCTCAGGGTGGGTGGGAAAATTTTCTTGAAAATTATGAAAGATCAACTTCTGTTTATTAAGCACTTAGGAGTACCAAAATTTTTTCAAACATTGCCTTGGACCAACATTAATCCACCATTTTGAAAAATGGTTTTTGTCTTTGTTTTTGTTCTGTGTGCAACGGAAAGCTGAAAATGTGTATACTTACATATTTTAAGGCAAGGAATCCAATAAGACAACGTAAAATATTTAAAAATAAACATAACAACTCTAATTTTTGCATTTGTCGCAGTTTTACTGGGCGTGTTTATTTGCAAAAATGTCAATATAGCTTGATTATTGATTTTTTTTTTAGAGAGTTGCTTTGAATAGTTTGAATTTAGTTTATAATTTCTGTTTTATAATTAACAAATTTAAATGTATTTGACCATGTTTTGTTTTTTGTTTCAGAAAAACAACTTTTCAATTCTATGTAACAACTCTAAGCAAACATTGAGCATAACTGATTTTTCAATAGCAAACTGTTAATATAATATAGCAATATGTATATATATATATATATATATATATATATATATATATATATATATACATACATACATACATACATACATACATACATACATACATACATACATACATACATACATACATACATACATACATACATACATACATACATACACTAGAGAACCTAGTTATGTACTAATTGCAGCTAATCACCTCAGATGAGTCACAATTTAAGTTGCCAGAGCAGGTGGGCAAACTCAATTTGTTAGGGTTTGGGTTGAGTCTTGGTTTGGTTACTCATCCTAAGGCCAAAATCTAGGTGTGTATATATACACCTATATATTGGTCTTAGTATGAGTAAATGACAAGCAGTAAAAAGCTTTTTTAAAACATAGTTGATTAGGGTTGTTGTCAGTTTTTTACAAAGTTTTTCTATGTAAAAGCCAGACATCTGTCCCTGGTTAACTGCCTGATCTGATTTTTCCTTAAGTTTTTTATCAACTTTAAAGACACTTTCAATGTTTCAAATAAAGTTTTGATAAACAAGGTCATGGATAAAATTAAAAGATTTTGATAAATTATTAGGTTTTTTATATTTTTACAACACTATTTTCTTTTTGCTCTGTTTGTTGGGTGCAGTTTCGTTTGTTTTTGTTTTGCTTAGTCTCAGCTTTGTTTTAACTCTACATGGTTTTAACTCTCCAAGTTTTTTCAGTTTCATACTTGATTGGTTACAAGGCTTTAAACATATACAAATTTTTGAAAAATTTTTTATGTGAACGAAAATTATATAAAAAGACATTTGTAATTAAACCTTGCGGAAATGAACTCTTTTCGATTTTTTTTGTAATATAGTTCTACATTTTAATTTATGATTTTTTTATAGTTTTAGTTATAAGTAAGAACTTTATATTATTTAGAGATTTCAAATTCACCAAACAAAGATTCCAATATTTCTTTCAAAAAAGGTATTTATTTTAATTGTTATTTTCTTTGTTTCCTTTAAAAATAGTAAAAAAAAATTATATTCATTTCATTAAGTTTTAACTTTTACATTAAACCTTCAACTTTTTTCATGTTTTTATGTCTACTTACTTCAGTTGTTAATCTTTTTCTAATTAATTTATTTAGTTGCTTATTTTATTATTGTTGCTAATCATCAATTTTGTTTATTGTGTTACTGGCTTATGTAAATTTATATCTCATTGGTTGCTTCAAAAAAATCTTTTTTATACAATGCTCACATAATAGTTTACTGATGAATAACAAAAATTTATTGTACTACTAATTTAAGTTTTGCATTTATCAGGGATTTTTTAAATAAATTTTTTTTATAATTTTATAAAGTTGACATAGATAAAACAAAAATTGTAATTAAGTGTTTTATTTTATGAAACTATAAATTAGAACCCATGTCGATGGTAATATCATTAACAAAAAGATAGCTTGTTGTCAAGGTGCAGTATTCTTGTTGCTTAAGTTTAGTGACATGATGCTATTGTTTTGAAATATATTTGATATATATATATAAAGATAGTACCTTTATTTAAAGATTTCTTTGTAGTGGCAAGTTTGACTTTAAAAGTGTTAACACAATAAAATAAAATAAAAAGATGTTAATTGGATTCACTAAGTATGTTATAATTCCTATATGTAGCAGTATCACAATTGAATTCACTAAATATGTTATAATTTCTAGATGTAGCAGTATCACAATTGGATTCACTAAATATTTTATAATTTCTAGATGTAATACTATCACAACTCCACAAAGCGTGCTCAAGAACAGCTGCTGAAAAATAGAACGTCAATAGTTTTTCGAATAATTATTAAGAATAATTTTATCGCTGCAATATTTCTTTTATACCTAAAAGATTTTTATTCTAACATTTTATTTTATTTTACCAAAAATAAAATTCCTTGTAAACATTAAAAATCTATTCCAAATGTTCGTTAAAGTTTTTTAATTATAAGAGTGATTGTACTTATCAACCGCTTTATGAAAATAAATAAAAATAAATAAATAATTATTATATAAAATCGCTATTAAAAATATTAGCTATTGCACAGTTTTTAATCATACAATATTAAAATTTCCAGTTTATTACCCTCTGACTTTTTAAAAAAAAAATATAATTATTTGAAAAACTTATGTTTTTTATTCGCTTAGTATAGACAAAATGTGTCAAACGTCGAGAAAATAAACAAATGTTTTAACATTTTAAAAAACGAAACATTCTAAAACAATTTTAAATAATAACATTTCTACATTAATGATTTAAAGTAGTTTTGCGGTAATTAAGTAAATTGGTGCAGTTAATGTTGATAAATATGAAAAGCAAATAAAAAGAATTTAATGACGTCAAAAATCACATTGTGCTTATGCGTTGCGCATTTTTAATTCATCACAAAGCCTGGAATAAATTGTTTAATTGCATATTATTATTTTATCTTAGGTCTACTAAATAAAATTAGATTCATCAATTGTCTCTCTAATACTTGATCAAAGTTTGCGTTTAAAAATTTTGTTTTCTTAGAAAAATTTTAATTTTGTTGCAAAAGCAATTGAAATGTTTTTTAAATCATTTGTTTAAATAAAAACATCAAATAGTGTTATTTATTGACTAGTTTAGGATATTTATAGTCATAGGCCAAAGAAAGGGCCAGGGGGCCTCTGACCAACTCTGCCCTCCCCCCAATCTCCCTGGATTTTTTTATTTATTAATTTTATTGATGCATTAAATGATATAATAATAAATAATTATTAAAATTCAATTTAAAAACGCAATTTTTTTTTGTTAGTTTTAGTTTGAAAAACAATTTATTTTTCATTATTTCAATTCAAATCGGAGAATGCTTACCTTTTTTTTATACCAAAAACATACAAATGTTTTGTTTTTTTCTTTTTAAAGGTTGCACTTTACCACTCCTTCATATATTGCTAAAACACAAAGAAGATACTTGAAAAACTGTAAAGAAAATCTTAACTAAAACAAATGCATGTTTTTAGAAGATTTTGCTGAAGTTATTAATATGTTGTTCAGGATGAGGTTTAAAGTTATCACTAAAGTAACTATATATATCAAAGAAAATCTACCTGATGTATCAAGCGTGAAATACTTTTCCGATGGTTTTGCAGCACAATTTAAAAATTCTAAAAACTTTATCAATCTTTGTCATCACAGTAAAGACTTTGATTTAAATGCTGAATTGGTATTTTTTGCTACCAGTCATGGTAAATCCTCTTGTGATGGTATTGGTGGGACTGTTAAAAGAAAGTCTAAAACAAATAACTACTGGGCAGATTTTAGATGTTAATTTTATGTACTCTTTTTGTAAAACCAAGATAAAAAGAATTTGTTTTAAATTTTTTTCTAAAGATGAAATTGACCAAACATGAGCACAATTAGAAAAAAGATATTTAGGTGGAAGAACAGTTCCTGGCACAAGGACGTATCATCATTTTATTCCAATTGCTTTTAACACTAAAGTTATAAAAAAACAAGTATTGATACAGGTATTGAAATTTTTGATATCATTCCAAAAATGAAACATAATATAGTGATTTTATTATACGTTAAAAAAATGGATTATATTGCATATTTTTTTGACGGATTTTGATGGGTAGCGATTGCTTATATAGGCAGTTGGTTAAGATCATGAAAAGGTCTTAGTTTTGAGTGCTTACTTTATATAAAGATATTGGTTGTTAAAATGTTTGATTATTGTTAAAATGTTAAAAACATTTCAATATTTTTGGTTTTAAAATTTATGATTTTTAAAATCGTGAAAAGATCTTAGTTTTGTTTCTCAAACTAAAAAAAAAAAAAATGTTTTTAAATAAAATTTTAATAATTATTTATTACTATATCATTTAATGCATCAAAAAAAAATTTAAAAATATTAAATAAATCCAGGGAGACTGGGAGGAGGAGGCAGAAATGGTCAGAGGCCCCCTAGTCCTTCTTTGGCCTATGACTATAAATGTCTAGTCAATAAATAACACTATTTAATGTTTTGATTTTGCAATTGAGCAATTGAAATGATTTAAAAAACATTTCAATTGCTTTTGCAACAAAATTAAAATTTTTTTAAAAAGACAAAAAAATTTTAAATGCAAATTTTGATCAAGTATTAGAGAGACAATTGATGAATCTAATTTTATTCAGTAGACCTAAGATAAAATAATGATATGCAATTAAACTATTTATTCAAGATTTTGGACCACAATCTTCATTTTACCTCCAAATATCATGAATTTATAAGTCAATAATTTTGAACAAAATTAGATAAACAAGGCATTTCCTGAGATAGTCGAGTCTTGAGGGTGCTTTTTTTGGATTCTGCAAGTAAAAATCTATTCGGTACTAAATTTTAGGAAATTTCCCCAAGCTATTATGATGATACTATATGTTGCATTGTAGTCGCTTCAGATAATCACTAAAATGCTGATTCAGTATTATTTTAACTGTCAATATCTCTGGAACCTATGTGTATTTTTAACTAATATTTTTACAATTAGCATAATTTTTAAATATGGACTGCAAGTGAGGTAAAAATGAACAAATTCTAAGACGTAAGGGTGTCGAAATTGTTTTTTTTTTTATTATTTCATATGGAATTACCCTGCAATAGTAGTGTAGTGGCACTTTTGAAATCAGGTTCGATGATTACATTATTTTTCAGGAAAAATTCTTTGAAGGTTTTAATATGCACATTTTGGAAAGCAGCTATAAAAAATTTTGAAATAAAATTTTGTTCATAAAAATCTTTATGCACAAATATTTTAACAAAAAACAACTTTATTTTAGGTTTAAACTGAGTTTTATATTCATTAATTCTCATAGTTGCTTAAATATAAAAAAGCAACAATCTTTTTTAACTAACTTTTTTTAAACTAATTTACTCCAACTAGGCTGCAGGCAACTACTTTTTATGTTGGGACCTCATAAAACAAAAATATTTTTAAAATGCAAAAAAATAGTTGACATATTAATCAAAAAACCGTTAATTGTATCTGCTAGATTTCAAGTTTTTTATAGTAATTAATAAAAAAATTGATTAAAAGTTAAGTTATATAAAAATGTTGTTTCATTAATTCTTAAGCATCATTTTTAAGTTTCTTTAATATTAATTTTTATATAGTTTTTTTTTTATCTGCATTATTATGACCTGATTTCCTAAAATGAACTGGTTTTTATGACATTTTGAAAAAACATTCAGCCTAATGAAAAAAAAAAAAATAATAATAACAAAAAAAATGAAAATAAATATTTATAATACGTTTTTGATGCAGTATTCAAAAAATGTACTTGTAATGCTGAAATAAGAAAGTAATATTTTCAAAATCAACTTATGATATCCTCTTATGAACCTTCTGATAACCTCATATGAACCTTATTATAATCTTCTATTAACGTTATGATAACCTTGTGATAACATCCTATGAATCTTTTGATAACCTCCTACAAACCTTATGGTAACCTCCTATTATATTTATGATAATCTCCTATGAATCTTATAATTTCCTTTAAAACTTATTATAACCTTCTATAAACCTTATGATAATATTTGATAGCTTGATGTTAATATTTTTAAAGTTGTTGTTCATCTTTCTTTTTTTTTTCGGTTTTGCTAAAGATCGGCTTAATTTAATATTCAGTAAGAAATTATAAAATTCATAAGAGATTTAATAAAAAATTCTAAAACATTTTAGTAAAAAAAGAAAGTTTTTGTAAGTAATAAGAAGGCTTCAATAACTTTAAAAAGTTATAGCTAAAAAGTTTAACAACTTTAGGTATTTACATTTATTAATCATCCACAGTATATCATACAGGGTAAATTATTATAAGGTTACATTTTTGAAAAGAAGTAAGTTTATCTTGGAGTATCTACTTCAATATCTTTGAAGATTTTCCTTTGCTCCAATGAGTTCCAGAACTCAATTGCATAGCTTAACCTTTAAAGATCTGTTTTAGGAATTTATTTATTGACACAATAACTTTTAATTTTTTTTGTTTTTTGTTTTGCATTAAGTTTTCTAGATAAGGTTAATTTCGATTGCATAAACCTATAACATCATCTAAAAAAAGGTACCTTTCAGTTTGTTTTTGAACTTTATGCTTAAGTGAGTCTTAATAACAAAGAAAAAAGTTCAAATTGATTAAAAAAAAATTGAATAACAATTTTAATAAGAAATTCTAAAATTTAATAGAAATTTAGTAAGAAATTTCTAAGAATTTTCTTTAAAACCAAAACCAGTTTTTATAAATAATATTAATAAATAAAAAAATTTGTGTTTGAACTGACAACTTTATGCTTAAGTAAGAAACAATAACAAATAAAAATATTTGTCAAATATAATAACATTAACGCAAATAAAAATGCTAACACTTAAACTTACTAATTTAATTTTCTTTATTTCCCTCAGGCTATTACGGCTCAAAGTGTTCCAACCAGTACACGGACCCTGTCCGTGTACAAAATTTAATAAAAATATATATCTCGTTCCTCTTTCAGGGGAGCTGTGGTTTCACTGAGCAACGACTTCTTCCAACACTAATCCTGACGACACTAAATCTTTCCGACCATTTGTTTCCTTTTTGTTCTTTTTATTGATTTATACAATTTATTATTAGTATATTACCTGTCTGTGTTTTAACTACTTCACTTTAAATCCATCCTTCCCTTTACTTTCTAGTTTGATTTTAGTAGATAACGTTATAAATGTTCTATGCGCCGGTCTAAATTGGTCAGTTTCCTCCTAAGCCGCGTTCTGTGCCAGATTTACCGTTTCGCGCCAAATAAATATGTTTAAAATTAAAAGATTTCAATAGAAACCATTTGTA